ACCACCACGTCCAGTCTCAATTGCCATCTCACGTGCCCTGGGGGCAGGACAGGGCCAGCACAGCAGGTCCAGGGATCCAACCCTGGCCCCTACGCCTGCATGCAGGCACTTTAATCCGCTGAGTTATTTGGCCAGCTCTAGCTATGCATTTTGATGATTTTTTTTTTTTTTTAAATCAGGTTAAGGAAATTTTCTTCTAAGTTTGCTGAGGCTTTTTCCCTTCGCTATATGAAAAGGCATTAGATCTTATTAAATGTTTTCTCTGTTGAAATATTTCTGCTCCGTAATTGTACTGTGGTGTATTTTTGTATGTTGAATCGTCTCTGTATTTCTGTGACATCACTTGGTCATGGTGTATAGTCCTTTTAATATGCTGTTGGGTTTGACTATTTGGTGATATCCCTGTGCGGCTTTGGCATCAAGATAATGCTGGTCCTATGTAATAAGTTACAAAATGTCTCCTCCTCTTTCCTTTTTGTGGGGACTGGTGTTAACTTCTTGTCTGGTAGAGTTGATCAGTGAATCTAATCTTGGACTTGCTTTGTTACATTTCTGATTACTGACTCTATTTCTTCTTGTACGTGTGTTCGTATTTTTATTTTTTCTTGAGTCAGTTTTGTAATTTGTATGTTTATAGGAATTCATATCTAAATTATCTAATTTGTTAGCTATAATGTTTATTTTTAATCAACAGATTTCTTTGTAGTTTAATATATCTAATACTTGTAAAATTTCGAATGTTACATTTCATTCTCTTTACTGCTCTAAGACGAACTGTATATAAAATTATGTAAGACATAAACAGAAATTTCCCCAAATACTAAGGAAGCAAAATTTTCTGATGTGGTGTGACTATTATAAATTTTATCATGAAAGGGCATAAACTTCAATTTTTCTTTTTACTAAATGATTTCTTGGGAAAACAAAACCTCTGTTTTTCTAAGTAGGGGCAGGAATGTTAAGAGTAGACACTCCCAAGCCAGACTGCCTGAACTGGTCTGCCACTTCTTGCCTGTTAACCTCTTTGTTCCCCAGTTTTAAGTGCAAGATAAAGGGAGTACCAACAGAATCTACCTCAGAAGGTGGCTGTGAGAATTAAGTGCATCACTACACAAAAAACTTGCTTTCTGTTCATAGTGAGCCTTCAATTATTATTAGCAAATGTTATTTTTATAAAGTGGTCACTAATTGTGGGGCTAAAGACCACCTGGACATCTCAATGGCAAATGCCAAAGCAGCAATGTATCAGAAAAGGCACATTTTTCTTGAGATTTATAAAATCTTGGACTAGAAGAGAAAGGAAAATCTTGGCAAAAGCCATCACTTGAAAAGAAATGGGTTTCTTCAGAGCAGGTGCTACTGCCTAAGAGAGGCCCTTAATGAAGGAGAATATTCCAGAGGAAGGTCATCCTCGGAGAGGAGACACACTTCCTTCACTTTAATGTGAGGTGTGGAGAGCTTCCTGCTACCCTGCGCCGGCGGGACCAGTCCCAGCCCAGGCGCAGCGTGGGCTGGACCCTCTCCCAGCCCCTCGGGGTGCCCCACACCTCTCTGCCGTACCTCCCCACCCTCCCGCCAAGTAGGAATTTCTGCCGACTTCCGGGAACCCCCAGACCCAGTCCTAGCCCAGGTCCGGGTGAGGTGTGGAGAGCTTCCTGCTACCCTGCGCCGGCGGGACCAGTCCCAGCCCAGGCGCAGCGTGGGCTGGACCCTCTCCCAGCCCCTCGGGCCGCCCCACACCACTTTGCCATACGTCCCCACCCCTCCCGACGAGTAGGAATTGCTGCCGACTTCCCGAAACCCCCAGACCCAGTCCTAGCCCAGGTCCGCAGCAGGAAGGAGCTGAGCACAGCAGCCAGACCTAAGCCAGACGCAGCTGGATAACTCCAAACTCTGTAGAGCTCCACCTGAACTTCAAAACGTGTGAAGGTTATAACTACAGCAAAGATCTACAACAAAGGGCAGAAGACAGTGCTACACAAAATGACGAGAAGGAACAAAATGCAACCTCAGAACCCGAGCCCACTCTTAACAAGTGCAGAGGACACTAACACAGAACAAATTGGAAATAACCAGCCGAAAGCAGTGAATCAACAGCTTCTGAAATAAAACAGCTGCAGAAAGATATAGAAGACCTCAGATTGGAAATGAAAAAAGAAATCCCTGAATTAGTAACACTTTAATGTGAGCCTGTTCTCTGCTGTGGGCCACAGTGAACTACAGCGGATCATCGGTGTTCCAGGGAGCAAGCACATATTCTAGCCACTAAAGAGGTGACAGTGTATCGAGGATCCTGTTACTGAAACTTTTATTCATTTCTTACACCTTTTCCTCTTACTTTTCTTCCTTTTACTTCAGCACAACTGATCTCTTCTTGTCAGGAAAATAATTAAATTCATATTATTATTACTATTTTTTTGGTACCAGGGATTGAACTCAGGACATTGTCAGGCAGGTGCTTATGCTGCTGAGCTATCTCTCTGGCCCTTAAATTCATATTCTTAACATAATGAGCATGTGAAATATTAATACATGGTAAGTTACTATTTTTTTTTTTTTTAAACTTTCTGCAAAGCTTTATTCCGGAGGGGCTCAGACCTTCTTGGCAGCTGCTTTCCTCATGGTGGCCAGCACGTTGCTCAGCTCCTCATGCTTCCTCTTGGCGTAGATGTGTGTCCCCACCCTTTTCTTGATGAACTTGAGGGCGCATTTGTCCTGGGAGACCTCGAGCAGCTCCATGACACAGCACTCATAGGGGTGAAGCCACACACCTCCTGGATCATGTCCTGAACTAATTTGGTGTTTGGTGAGGTGCCCGGGACAGCGGCTGTGCCTTGGTTTGCTCATAGTTTTAGTCACCTTGTGGCCCTTGTTGAGACCATGGCCATGGGATAGTGGAAGTCCATGGCTATTGTTCTTCAGTGGTTGCTGTGGTGGAAGGCACTATCACTATTCTCTTTTTGGTGACCATATCCACAACTGTAGGGCTTGTTCTACGAATAGAAGTGCTCGCTCTCTTGGATTCCAAGGTAGAAACATTTCATGTGCACTTATAGTTGCATCACAGAATGTATGAAGAGCTAAAAATAGTTAGGGCCCCAAAATTTGTTGTCCAGTTTTAAGTGTAAGATAAAAGGAATAAAACCAGAATCTACCTCAGAAGGTGGCTGGGAGAATTAAGTGCATTCATGCACACAAAAACTTGCTTCCTGTTCATAGTATGCCTTCAATTATTATTAGCAAATGTCATTTTTATAAAGTGGTCATCAAAAATGGGCATCTGAGATGAATACACACTTCTCAGAGGAAGAAATACAAGAGGCAAATAAATACATGAAAAAATGTGCCACAGCACTGGCCATTCAAGAAATGCGATTGTAAACAACACTGAGATACCATCTCACCCCAGAAAGAAATCAACTAATAACAAATGCTGGAAAGGTTACAGGGAAAAAGGAACCCTTCTCCACTGCTAGTGAGAATGTAGACTGGTACAACCATTATGGAAATCAGTGTGAAGATGCCTCAAAAAACTAGGACTAGAAATCCCATTCAATCCTGCTAGTCCCCTTCTGGGTATTTTCCCAAAAGAACTGAAAACATCATACCATAGTGGTATATGTGCATCCATGTTTATAGCAGCACAATTTGTCATAACCAAATCTTGGAAGCAACCAAAATGCCCATCACCTGAGGAATGGATGAAAAAGATGTGGTATTTCTATACAATGGAGTATTGCTCAGCTATAAAGAAAAACTCAAAGCCTTCATAGGTAAATGGATACAACCAGAGGATAGACTCATAAGTGAAATAAATCAGACCCACATGTGTAAATATCGTATTGTCTCCCTAGTGTAAGAACCTGAAAGAAATAAAACCTGAAAGGAGTAACTGATATAGTAAAATGGAAAGAAATGGAATTTAAGGATTAAACAACAAAGATGAGAGAAATGAGAAAAGATGGGAAAAAAGAAAGGAAAAAAACATGCAAGTATATATACAGGATGGCTGAGGTGATTGTACTAAAAATTTCCATCAGTTTTTTAAAAATAGCAGTTAATGTGTAGATTTTTCACCTTGACTAACTCTGTATGCTGATATCTGTGATCTAAGCAACTACATTAAGGACAGCAATGTGTAATACAAAAACCATGCTTGAATACCTGTCATCTTGGTCTTCTAAATGTGTACCATTTCTTTCTTTTTTTCGTCCTGTATTCAGGACAGGGTCTGCAGGGTCTCACTACATAGATCAGAGTAGATGGGACTAATAGTGATCCTCCTGTTTTCAGCCTGCCAGGTGCTGGGATTACAGGCATGCATCACCACGCCTGTCTCAGTTGCTGTCTCAGCGCAACCCACAGTGGGCCTAGCCACAGCAACCCCAGCCACTGTGCTCTGCTTAAGCAGGCGCTTTAGTCTGCTGAGCTATCAGGCTGGCCCTCCAGTACCATTTCTAATATCATATCAATTATTACTGTACTCTCTTTAAAATAAATTATTAAAAAAGCTAAAGAAAGAAAAAAGAGAACAAGAATTTAAGGTTTCTTGAAAGGAAGTGGTAATATTCAAACATATGTTAAATCTTACATAACTATATCTGTTAATCTGAGCAACAGATCTCATAAAAATAAGTAATATATCAACTATTGTTAATTAGCTATCCTTGTTTTGAAAATCTGTAACATATGTATTGTTGTATGTTGCCCTGTTTCTTTGTTTCTGACTTTTGGTCTTGCTTTTGTTTTTACTTTTCAAAATAAAACAAAAATATAAAAAAAATAAAATTACATAATTTTTAAAGAAAGCAACTAAGATGAAGGCTACCCTAATATGAAATATTAACACATTCACTAAGACACATTTTAAAAGATGGTAATTTAGTTTATGCTCATTTTATAATTAAGTTATAAGTTAATGAATTATATCTTAACAGATTTTTGACAAAACGTTACTGCCCAGTGCATGTTTTGCAAACATTTGACAATTCACTTGAGTATTAACATTCACATATTTGTAATCGGAGTTTACAAATGTACAAAATTTTGGGTAACAAACACTTTAAACTTATTTTTCAGACATTCAATTAACCCGTTCCCCCAAGAGAGTTTGATTATAAAGAAGCATAATGAATTACTAATTGGAAACCGTAAAAAACAAGGGAGGGGGCAAACAGACTTGAGAACACAGACAACTATGCAAACAATTTTGTCAATAGTAGGAGACAAAAAAATCAAAACAGCTTTTGAAATATAAAAGCAAACAAATTCATATAATTAGTTAGGTGAACATTACAGAATATATTTATTTTCTCTATGTAAATTTGCATACCTTAAATTTAATGTAAAACATGTTTTATCATGTTAGTTGAATAATAACATACATGAAGGTCTTGGTGACTCTAGGTGCAGTGGAATGAATAGTCAATAGGTGCCAAAGTTCACTTCGAGTCTTTATTTGGTCACTATTGTTTTAATGCTTTAGTGTTTTTCTTTATTCATTGGGCTAAGCCAATTTTAGAAATAAAAATCATAACCAAAGCATATGAAATGTAGCTTTTCCTGAAAAATAGTGTATTCTTAGTATCATTAAAATAATGATTATGGTTAAACAAAAAGTACTGTAACTCATGTATAGTAAACTTACAAAGTAGTATTTTAAGGGTTTAAGTGATGTGTTTGCACTGTACTAAAATAAATCTGGGTAGTGAGAGTAAAATGTGCTTGACTATGAATAGAAGAAATTCCTATTTAGCACTGTCTTATGTTTTGACCAATGAATTTATCCTCACATTTTATATCAGAAACACATTCACAATTTACCAGCTGTAGTCTTGATTTATTAAGGAATGAATGTATTTGATCCTGGTCCATCTTCTTCTTTCCTTGGCTTAACATCTTCACATTGAGATGAGGCACTTTGTGCCTAGGAATGTGGGATTGCACATTTGCTAAAATTTTCCACTGATAGTAGAACAACAGTACTAAAATTAATACAGGATGAGGGTTTCTTCATTTAAAAAACAATGCATGTAAATGTAAAATTATAATTTCACAGTCACAACACAAGTTCCAGCTCTTCCTAGGCACAGTGGAGCAACCTAAAGGAAACAGAAATACATGTTAGATTTGGGTTAAAATGTCAACAATACCACACTTGTTAGTGAAATATTGAAATACTCTGTACTTGTTGACAAGGACCTGCTCTTCTTACCTGTTACCCGAGCCCTATGGCTCGCCTGGACCCTTGTCCAACCCCTACTCTTGATAACAAAGTTCTGTAGACTAAGTTGTTTGTGTATATTATGTACTCTTTACTTTTCTTTAAAAGAATTTTTTTTTTTTTTTTTAGTGGCTTAGGAACTACTTAAACTTTTGGCCAAAATGCTGCATAATATGAATATTAAAAAAAGCTTAAAGTAACTTTGTGACTAACATGTAGATACTATCAGGCATTATGTCTATGGGGCCTCTAGTAGCCCTGGCATCTCAGAGAGAGTACACCAAGTCCTGCACGCCTAGTGATCTCAAATCCTCCACATATAGGCTGAAATGACAAACCCATTCTACTGCTTAGCAGCAGATAAAATAAAGAAGAAATACACTCACCTAACTACCTAGGAGTGGAAACAAACCCAGTGAATGACCTCTCTGATGTGAGATGGGGTGACAGCTACTACAGATGTATTTTATGAATAAGGAACAAGTCTTTTTTTTTGGGGGGGGTGCCATGGATTGAACTCAGGTCCTTGCTCTTGCCAGGAAAGCACTTATTCCACTGAGCTATCTCCTTGACCAGGAACAAGTCTTAAAATTTATACTTACTGTCTTTTTAAAAATATACGCCAGGAATTAGACAATTCATAGTTAAAAGGCATGGACAAGAATAGTTTTTGATGAAGTACACTGAACCCAGTTAAGAATTTATGTATTTGATCCAAGAAAGTTATAAATTGAGAATGGAGGTGACTAATATAAACTACTATAAAAGTTTGTTTTGTTCTTATGAATATTAAGGTATAAAACAAAATATTTCTATCAAATCGACAATCAGTTTGACCCCAATCCCTAATCCTTCACCGACAAGTGGATTTTAAGAACAGATCAGGCTCCAGCTGTATGAGAATTCTCAGTTGTTTCTCACTGGAATCATTTATTCTGATCACTGTTACATTTTCATGAAAATCATGTTAGCTATTTAAAAAAAATATATCTGGTGCAGGGTCTCACTACACAGCTCGGACTCATAGTGATCCTCCCGTTTTCAGCCTCCCCGGCGCTGGGATTACAGGCATTTGCCACCATGCCAGGTCTCGATTGCTGGCTCAGTGTGACTGGGCTGGTACAGCATGTGGTGCCGGGGATTGAACTCCGTGTTAGCTATTTTAATACTACATCTACTTATAGTATTTGAGAAGTAATAACTTCTATTTAATTTAAATAAAAAATGTCAGTTTGTAATTGGCAGCTTTTCCCAAAGTACCCAAGTTGCTACACTATGATTAGATGACAACTAGCTAGAATGCTTAGAGAATCTATTAAATATAGTGTGTTCATGCTTATGGTCAAGCCTGGGGCGTGGGTGGGGCTTAAGAATTTATAATCCCATTTCAGCCCCATTTGAACACTCTCCTGTCCATACAATAGAATCTAAAAGGAAAACATTTATTTTTCAGATACTATGGTTATAAGTTCTTTCAAATAGTAATTAGAGGTGACACGTAAACAAAATAGCTGTACAAGGACTACTAATTTTGCTATCGAGTGACTCTGTATGGAGTATTAATTATCTGTAATTACTAGCCTCAAAACTGGCCAGTAGCAGTTTATAACTGGACTAGTTGCTTGAATCTCAAACAGAGATTCTTCTCTTTATTTCTGTGCTCTTTGACTATCATTTACACTTACATTTGCCATAGTAGGAAGCTGATGGTAATCATATAATTTATTTTTTTTTAAAGAATACAAAATATAATCATGTAATTTTTTTCTTTTAAATTTATTTATTTATTTATGTGTGTGTGTGTGTGGCCAGCTCAGCCCACCTGGGGGCGGGGCTGGCTGGCATGTGGTGCTGGAGGATTGAACCGTGGTCCCTGTGCTTTGCTAAGCTTGTTTGCTCTAAGTAGGTGCTTCAGACCACTGAGCCATCTCACCAGCCCCAATCATGTAATTTCTAAGGAAACCATGTAGCTCTAATTCAAGTCCTCAGTCTCATCCTTCACACCTTCTACCAAGTGATGCTACTTAATTAAGAAGATTGAAGTTTTCAAATCTAAGTCCTTTTCCTCTACCCTTCCTTCCCTTCACTTAAAAACTCCCTGCACCTCTGCATACTCATATTCTCATCTTTTCCTCAAGCCTTGAGGTTAAGTCTGACCAGGTCAGGAGGATGAACAATTTCTGGTTTAAATTCTGTTTCCTAGCCTTCTTTCAGGAAGATTTTCTTTGGTTTTGTTTATTCTAACCTCTGTAGTCTCTCTACCCTCTTGTCATCTCTATTGTGGAAAACAAACAAACAAACAAACCCTGGAGTCAACTTATAATTCTACCGTTTATTTACTACGTGATGTTCCCTTGTGTTTTAGATTTCTCATCTTGTACAGTGGGGGAAATAATCATACCTAACCTTCTGGGGTTGTATGAAGATTAAGTAAATTCTTAAGGGTAAAGTGCTTAGAACAGATCCTGGAACATAAAATGTACATATTGTCAGCTGTCAACATCATCTTAAAATTGAATGCCCTCCAACTCCCACACTATATTGTTCTCTTTCCATTTTAGACTGTAGTGCTTTCTGTTTCTGTCACATTGTTACAGGGCCCCAGAGCTTGGTGAATGACAAATGGTCTTTACTCTTGCTTTTACCATTGAAATACTCTTCCTCGTAAATAGTCCATTCTGTTGACTTCTGAGAACTGAAGATCACACTTGAGCTGTTTTCTTTAGAGGCTACACTCAGCCCAAGCAGTGTGAGTAAAGAGTGGCTGACAGAATGCAGTGGTCCCTGGAATCATCTGTACCTACTAGTTCAAGCCCTGTGCTTAAGAGTCTTGGCAATGTTTTCCTTTTATCCAGTTTTCATTTCCATGTGCCTGGCCCAACACCCCATGAACCCGACTGTACCCCTCATTTGGGTGAAATCTCTGCTGGCTTACCAAATCCTCTAGCTTGGACATCAAAGGCCTCCATTTGGATCCTACCTTTCCCCTCTGAGAAGAACTCTTCTCACAGCCAGCCATACTTCAACATATCTTGCATTTTTGATTCCAGGACATTTTTTTATGTTTTTTTTTTAAAACTCAATTTCTCCTTTCTTTCCCTCCTTTTTGAATTGAATCATTTCACTAAGGCTCAGCTTCAATCCTACTTTTTTTTCCTTATGACAGCTTTCCCAACAACCACTTTCTTGTATCTTTTTGAAAGCCACCACCAATCACTTTGTCTTGTTTGTAGGTTCTCCCCTTGCACAAATATATCTCACCTTATAAGTTCTGTGGCAGCAGGGATTCTCCTAAGTTTCATTTTCTTGAAAATATTTTAGTATTGTTCTATGTAAGAAAACTTTTGGTTCACTTAAATATTTACCAAGTACCTTTTATGTGTCAGATACTGAATTAAGTCTTACAAACACAAAATTCTTTATTCTGGTCTTGGTGATGGTGGCAGTGAAGCTCAACTGTACGAGTGTTAGGCCATCCCAGAAGTAAGTTTGTAGTCAAGTGTCTTATTTGTTAATACAAATCAGGGATGCCACCTTTAGCAGGTTATGACCAGAAATTTAACATGTTCTCAAATATCAGTGTCTTTAGTATTTAAAAATTATTGCTCACATACCATACATGGGTAAATTAGTCAAGCTTTTCTGACTGCTAACTTGGCTGCTTCTCCTACACAACCTATTTCTTTGTTACAGCATTCCTGTAAGGTATCACGTACCTGATAGATACCAGTTCTATCAATGTTAGAACATTTACCAAGCAAATGATGACAACTGTTGATTTCTCTAAGTATAAACATATAGTCCAAAGGTAATTTTGGACTTTAATTATAATATGAAAATGAAATACTGTCTCTTATTTTCTCATATTTGGTTAGGCGATGCCTTTATCCTGTTTATGTGGTACAGCCAATACTGGACAAAATGGAGAGGTTCTTTTCACAAAAAGAGCGAGTCTGGTAATCAAGACTGAAATGGCATACCTGGGTCCACTCATTTGTCTGGGGATCGTAAGCCTCCACAGTGTTAAGGTAAGTCTGTCCATCATATCCCCCAACAGCATACAGTTTATCACCAAGTAAGCACACCCCCACTGCGTCTCTGCTGATACTCATTGATGCCACTGCAGTCCACATATCTGTTTTGGGATCATATCTGAAAGAAAATTTCAGAACTAGAACTGACATTGTCCTTGTAATATCTTATATAAAAAGTTTTGTTCTTTTAAGTCTTTTTCTTATTATGTGCTATCTAAATAAAATAAATTTGAACACATTTAAGAGAAAAAGAAATATTTTCCTAAAACTTTTAACTTACCATATTATGCTTTCATTTAGCAAATGTACAACACTGAAGTTAAAGAGATGATATAAATGCAATACAAAGAACTGCTTCAAGGCTTTAGATTGCCTTTTGAGAATGTGGGGAAATTAAATTGAGTTCTATGTAAGGCGATGGACAGCCTCCACCACTTTATTTCCACCCTTGGACCTTCGTGTTCCTTTATGAAGTGCCTTAACTAGAACCGCCCAAAGTTGTCTAACAGCCAGTTACTTTATGCTACGATGACCACTGTTGCTTCTGATATCTCTTTTGGTATGACCTTTTCCGTCTACAGTACTATAACAAGCTCATAACTTATAAGGTACAGTGTATAAAGACTTCCATATTTCTATTCTGAATTATAACATGTAAAAAACATAGTCTGAATTATTTTGTCCTCAATGCAGTGAAATGCAGGTGTAATTTGATTGTTTTCTCAGAAAAAGAATCACCAAGTCTGCTTATTATTACACAGGGAGTGCGCATTATCATTAACCAACCTTGATTTTTCCTTTTTACAAATTCAGGATTAATCCTTGCATCATTTACAACTTATTAAATAAATCATACTAATCTAAAAAAGTCTAGTATGTCCAAGTCTCTCTTAAGATTCTTTCTTCTTTGAAGCCTCAAGTTCTTAATGATGTCTCAAGACACATGGCTGTGCTCTCCCACTTCTTTCCTTTCCTGCTCTGCTATCCATCACTATGTGTTCTGGCTACAGTGGCTATCTTTCAGTTTCCTGTATGAGTCAGTCTTGTCTGCTCTGAATATCATACGTACTTCTCTGATTCTACCTCTAAAACACATTAGAATTCTCTTCATTCTTTGAACTGGATTGAACATATTACACAGGAACCTGACCTAACAACTGAATAGTTCACAGCTGTTAGGCTCTCTACCTGACCCCAAGTTGAGTTTCTTGTGGTCAGTATGGATGACTTGGTTAAACTTTAAAGACTTATCATTAATTTTTTATTTTATATTATTTCATTTGACATCAAAATGGGTCATATATGTCTCTATCCTTTTCACTTCTTACTCAGGTTCTAGCCCTGAATTTGTTCTCTTTGAAATTCATCAGTTCCTTTTCTTCTATTAGGTGCAGTGTCCTGAACAAAATATATATGCAGTAAATATTTGCCTTAGGAGGATTCAATTAATAAATTACACAGTTGAGGCTACATGAAAGTAGGCAGCAATGCTAAGAGGAGACTGAGGAGTCAGTTGAGACACAGAGAGATGGCCAGAGCAAGTAACTCAATGCTTACGTCCTCTATGAAACCACTATGCGTGTGGTGGATGCTCAGTGAAGAGCTGTTCCTTTTTCTCAAAGACTAGAGACTTATATTCATTTGTTGTGTTGTTCTTAGTTTCCTCCACAGGAAATTACCTCTCTACACAGTCTGAGAGTCTGGAAGTCAAGTTGGAGGCAGGAGCATCATGTCCTCCAATAGCGTACAGCAATCCATTCCATGTGGTTACTCCGACACCGCCTCGCCTTTTTGACATCTGTGCACACAGTGTCCACTTATTAGTATGAGGATCAAAGCATTCTACTGATTTGAGACAAGAACTTCCATCACGACCACCAACTGCATAAAGTCTGAAACAAAACAAATGGAATGATAAGAAACAGTGCTGCTATTATGCTTAAGGCAGAGGATAACATTAGGATATTTCACTGCATGTTAGGTACCAGGGAGTATTCGGCCCACTGGCAATTTATGTGCCACTAAGAAGGAAGATGTGCTACTGATTAAATTATATATATATATATATATATATATATGATGTGATAAATTATATATATGATGTGCTACAATTAGAAATGTTAAATGTCTTAGAATACATAAAATATACACTGTTATGAACATAGAACTTTTTGTTGTTTTGTTTTTTGAGACAGGGTTTCACTATGTATAATAGTTCAGGCTGGCCTTAAATTATTTCTCAGACAGAAGATCATTGTCCAAAATATATAAAGAACTCAAAAACTAGACCACGTAAAATAAAATAAAATTAGACCACCTTGTTAAGAAATGGGTAAGTGAAATGAATAGATACTTCTCAGAGAAAGAAATACAAATGGCCAACAAATATAGGAAATGAATGTTCAGTATCTCTGATCATTATAGAATTGCAAATTAAAACAGTGCTAAGATTCCATCTTAACCTAGAAAGAATGGTAATCATGAAGAATGTCTAAGTGTGGTGGGACATCCCATCACTCAGGAGACAGATAGGAAGATAGCTACAAGTCTGAGGCCAACCTGGGCAACACAGTGAAATCAAGACCAGCCTAGACTACAGTGAGACCCTGACACAAACAAACAAATAAACAAACAAGCAAACAAATGAAGAAAAAGAGGAAGACAGAGATAGATTGATCGATTGATCAATCAAATATAACAAATGCTGGGCTGTGGTGAAAAAGAACCCTCATACATTACTGGTAGAAATGTAAACTAATATAACCATTACGTAAATCAGTATGGAGATTTCTCAAAGAACTAAAATCAGAAATTCCATATGATATAAAACACACAACTGTTGAGTGAGATAAACCAGACAAATGATTAATACCATATGGTACCTCTCATTTGAGCAAGGCAAGTACAAGCAAGGGGAATAATAAAGGATGGATAAAAGTGGACAAGGGGGGCAGATCTCTTGCAAATGGGTAAGTCCAAGAGACTCTAAGGGGAAGAAGAATTAAGAATATATCCTAGGTACAGGTACCAAATAACCTCAAAGAATGTACACATTACATGCCATAAACCTCCTGCCTCAGTCTCTCCAGTTCTGGCATTACATATGTGCACTATCACACCCGGCTCTACAGCATGAACTCCTGAACCAGTCTCTAGTTTGTACACTGCTTCTACCACTTACTCTGTGACTGTGGACAGGTCATTTAATCTCCACCTTCCTGAATTCCATCATCCATAAGCCTCATCTCATAGGATTACTGATAATTAAGGTACCTGAATAGTTCTTGGCATGTGGTAACAAGACAAATTCTGTCTTTATTTGTATTCTTTTAGAAAACAGCAATTTTTTGCTATTATTTAAAATAGATGTTATTTTATGTTTCTTCAAATCAAAATATTTTTCTATGTAATAATCAATTTGGTTTACCGTATTTTATTTTACTTTACTTTTTGAGTTGTTCTCACTGTATAGTCCAGGCTGGCCTCAAATTCACAGCAGTTCTCCTGCCTCAGCTTCCAAAGTGCTGGGATTATAGGCGTGTACCACTTATCATGCCTGGCTGATTACTCCATTTTATTTTATTTTTTTGTACTTAGGGCAGAGTCTACAGGGTCTCATTATGTAGATTGGACTCGTAGTAATCCTCCTGTTTTCAGCTTCTCAAGTGCTGGGATTACAAGTGCATGCCACTATGCCCAGTTTCAACTGTTGCCTCAGCACGCCTTGTGGGTGGAACCAGCACGGCATGCCGGGGATAGAACCCTGGCAGCTGTGCTCTGCCTAAGCAGGCACTTTAGTCTCCTGACCTATCAGGCTGGCCCCTGATCACTGCATTTTAAATGGAGTGTGCAGTAGTTTCTTACTTTCCACTCAGAACTGCCACCCCTACTGTGCTCCTGGGTGTGGACATTGTGGCAACAAAGTTCCACTGGCGAGCCTGGGGGTCCCATCTTTCCACTGTGTTCAGATAGCTCCAGCCATCGTGCCCCCCAACAGCATACATGGGGCCTTCCAGCACAGCCACGCCTGCAAGGAAAAAGAGGAGGCTGTGACCTAAGGTCTGCCACTTGTCTCAAAATTCACATTTTAATTGACACAGAAGTGCAATGTACCTTAAACACACAAATGTAACCATCACAAAGCCTATGCTTTAGAAATCACAGCCAAATAATTAAAATATCTGTCATTTATGCATAACCCAGCCAACATACTATGTTACTCATTGGTTATGTTATGTCCCATCTATACTATCAGAGATTGTATGTGTATATATATGTACGACTCTATAAAGATATGTATGTTTTATCAATCATATAACAGATACCCTAATCAAAAGGCTAGAAATGTGTCCATTTAACTAAACCCCTTAAATAATAGCTTTGAAGAAAAGTTTAGCCGAAGCATTTTTTTAAACAAAATCTTCATATAATTCTCACGTAGGAAGAGATAAAAGGAGTATTTCTTAAAAGTTTATTGATTCAAATTTATAACATTTATTATAAAATAAAAACAATGTTTTGAATTAATAACACAAAAGTTTTAAATTAGTACTGACTTAGTTGAGTCTGGACCATAGACTGACCTACTCTGAACTTGCTGTGGTGCAATGTTTTTTGCTCGGCTCTTAGACTACAGACAGCCTTTCAAACACAAGCTAGTGTAGAAAACTAGCTGGACCTCAGGAGCAGTTGTATTCTATGCAGTAAAAAGATTTATTCTAAATTAAAAATAAGTTTACGATCCTAAAGTGGGGGAGGGAGGAATGCAGTTAACTTATACTATCAACTCTGGATTTTACAATAAAACTAAACTTTTAGGTCATACTTATCCTTAAGACACTAGCTAAAATCAACACTTCTATTGCTATTCATCTATCTCTTATGATGACTTTCCAAATTCCTAACTGCATCTATCTATAAACTTTTCCCAAATTGTAATAAATTGGTAACATAGCCAAAAACGATTCCTTCTCTGAATTTATATTTTTTTGCATTGTGACTCAGCAGCTCCTTTCATGAAGAACTGGCATCTGTTTCTCTGCTTACTGAATCTGTGCTTGCCTGGGTGACTTGTTTGGGCTGGGGAGACATTAGTGAACATGAGGCAAGCAGAGGCTTGAAAGCTTGTGCCCTGGGACTTGTCTTCTCTCTGCTTTTGAAAACTTATGTGCCAACATATGATGTCAAACTGGGCAGGGCTGCTGAGTGCTCAGAGGCACAGTGTTCTGTCGCCTAGGCTAACAGGCTGCGTGGCCCTAAGACACACGTATAAGGTCATCCTAGATCACCCAGCAACAAAACACCCCATCTCAGATTCCTGACAACCCAGCAGAGATAATCACCCAAGGCAGTGAAGACTAAACAGCTGCCCAGCTGACTCACAAGTCAGATCAATGGTTAGTGCACTAAGCTTCTGCACTTTTGGATAGGCTTGAAAGCTGGGCCATACACATAATTTCAAGTCTTATCTAATATTATATCTAGCTTCTTCATTCTCATCCACTAATGCATTCTTCTATTTCACTGAGAAAAAGAGAGGCCCCTAAATTTTCTTCCATGCATCTTAGAAAGCACTACCATCAATTCTTTGAGGGTAAAGATAGTGTCTTCCTAAACTATGTAACCTACAGAACAAAACCAAGGCACACGGTAAATGCCAATCAATGTCTGTTCAGTGAATTATTGGCTGAAAGAATGTAAAGGTTTTATTATATTTCTGTGCCATCTCAAAGTTTTCCTTAACTTTTATTCATCATGTCTGCTTAGAAACAGGATTTTAGTCATTTCTGCATACTTTCCATTCATAGTAATGGTAGAAATTTTTAAATAAGCATCTGAGACAACACTAATTTCCAACACAGAACACTTATGTAAAAAGTGGCTTGTCAGACTACCACATTACCCTGGAACCCTTAGAAATCCACATTCACATGTGTGCTTGTCTGTTCTGCTCTCAGAGAACAGAAGCATGACAGGATGCCTGGTGGCTGAGCTGCTGACTCAGTTGCCATGTCAGTCTTCTGCCTGGCTCAGATCGTGAGCTGCTGTGGTAAGTCATCTCCAACATGATGAGTACGCGGTTAAGACTTACCAAGGCCATGTCTATGTGTGGACATAGGCGGCATCACACTCCAAGTTTTTGTTTTGGGATTGTAACACTCTACAGTATTCAAAGTCTTCAGTCCATCTCTCCCTCCAACCACATACAGTTTGTCATCTAACACTGCAACTCCAAACTGTAGCCTCCTCCCATTCATAGTCGCTACAGGAGTCCACATATTTGTACGGAGATCATACTTTTCAATGCTTGTTGCACCTTAAGGTAATATACAGAAATTATGTAAATAAAATTCCACCATGATGACAATTTCATGAAGCTGCACATACAAAAGTTTAATTTTATTGGCATTGACAATAATGTTTTTATTGTGTATCGTGGAACCACTGAATGACCTTGCCCTGCCACATGTTACCTCATCTCCTACCTCTCTAGGACATATACCAGGTCCCAGTATCAAATGGTCTAGTGGGCAAGGATATTTGTCAGTGGAAGATGAAAAACAAAGTGTGAACTGGAAGGAAAGGCAGGAGAGCTTTAGTGTCAGGGAAGCCAAGTTGAAAATTTATGGCAGGTAGCTCTGCTAACAGTATCAAGTGCACTGAGATGTCCAAGTAAGAAGACTAAAATGTATTACTGGATATAGTTACACAGGCCTGCTGTGGTGTGTCTAGCTGTCCCCCAAAGCCTCATGTGGTCATAGGTGGGGCTTTTCAGAGGTGGCTAGATCCAGAGCGTGTGATGCTAGAGTTAAGTGTGTAATTATTACATTAGTCCACTGACTGGTTTGGCATAGTTCTGGGTTTGGATATGAGAAGGCCCACTCAGGGTGTGAGTGCTACCTGCAAGTAGGCCTGTAGCCTGGATAAAATACAAAGGACAAAAGAAGGGCTGCTGCCTTCATTCACTACTTTGCTACTTACTTCCACTGACAAAGTATCTGCCTGCCATGGACTACTTCTTCCTGTGATGCTGCTGTGCCATGCATCCTTGCCTTGGAGCCAGCCAGCTGTACATTAAAACCTTTATAAACTGTGAGATGAGATAAATCCTTCTTCCTTTAACTTTGGGTGTTGGGTATTTTGTCTCAGCATCAAGAAAAATGACTAAGACAAGGTGACTTTCAGAAGAGCTCCTCATTTGAGTAGCTGATACATGCTTGGGAGGTGAGAAAATGGAGATGCTGGGCACAGAAGACTCTTCTTTATCACAATGGGATAGAGACAGGATCATTAGGTGGGTTGAGGGGGTTTTGTTTGTTTTGAACATTAGGAAACTCTGAACTGGCTTAGGATTGAGGGAAGTGAAACTGAAAAAAAAAGCATGATGTTCTGAGGAGGCAGGAAAGGACAATACGTGAAGCACTGGCAGAGGGGTTGACTTTCAGAGGAAGAGGGGAGAACCACCACCTATGGCAAGGAGGAAGGACAACAGGTCACCTCCTATTTCTGGTTGATGGTGTCTGCATTAATAACACTGGATGATTCTTGAAGCTTTTGGAGGGTGATCTAATGTTTTTTTTTTTCTAACAGGAAATGATTATTTATGCATACTTATTTAATTCATCTTGAGGAATTGCTACATATCCGTCTTACACCTTAATTAGAATTTTTTCTCTTTATGAACTGAGATTAACAGGTTTTTTTTAAAGTACCATCCCTAAAAATCCAGGCCCTAATTATAAAGGGTTCAGTTGGAGTTCTCTTCTCTCTTCTTTTTTTTTTGCGGAACCAGGGATTGAACTCAGACCCTTGCACTTGCCCGGGAAGCGCTTATTCCACTAAGCCATCTCCCCGGCTCCTTCTCTTCTCTCTTCTGATAAGAAACTAGTGCTAGCTTTTTATGAACACAATGAACATTCATTCTAAAGTATCTGTTACATTAGGTAGTACTGTCAATCTCCTAGCATTTAGAAATATTTTAATCTACCTATAGATACTATATATTTCATTATTTTTTATTTACTGTTTTAAACCCTAGGTTATTTGGGATTGATATCAAGTCTCTTTCCATCTGTGTTCTCTTCACAGTACTAAACAGAATATTTTCTATAAAAGAGGTGTTTAAAATATTTTAAATTTGAGTATTTCTTTATAATACTTTAGTTATAATAAAATTCTATTCATAAACCTAGATAATTGTATATAACACAGTTAACATTACTTCAAATAGTCTTAAAAATCAAATTAATCAAGTCAAATAAAAACTTCCATCAAATAAAAAGCTAATCATCTCTCTTCACTAATAAGTTTAAGAAAAATGTTTTCTTTTGGATTTTAAGTTGTTTCTCTGACATCTAGTTCACCAAGTAGTATCACAGCGCTATGAACTGGAACACTGTTGCTGATTCCACACAGAATATGTAAAACATTAAATATTAAAACATAGCCACAAATTTGTATCATTAAAAACCCCAAACACCCAAAAAGAACAAAATTCTAATAATTATAAAAGTCTATGTAAAAAGCACAGAATACCCCTAATTTATATGGAAAACTAACCTTTAAAAAGCAAGCACAAACGTTTCTAAAATACTTTCTTAATGGCTATTTGGACCATCATCAGCGTATTTGTTGGATTCCATACTAACAGACCAAGAGTGTATGAGCTGACTGCCATGCAGGTAACACAAACTGTTCATTATAAAGATACTAGGAGGACTAAGGAAAATCAAGATAGTTTGAATGGAATAGAAGTCAGAGTATTTGAACATTAAGAAAGACTCAGGAATAAAGTTGGCCAAGCAGCAAGGGTCAGATTACAGAACGTCATGAAAGTCAAAATGAAGAATTTATACATTACATGTTAAGAAATAAAGGCTGCTGGAGTTTTTGAGGAGTAGCAGCATGGTAACTTAAGAGTTAATGGAGCACAATATGGTCTCCCTAGTTAAAATGCCTGTTTGAATCTTGATAACATCGCTAATCAACTGTGTGACTCTGGGAAAGTCACTTGGCTTCTTAAGTCTTGGTACCCTCAATTATAAAAGGAGGCAAGAATAACATTCAGCTCTTGGAAAGTCCATAATGAATGGCACATATTAACAACAGAATGAATGTTACTTATCTTAAGTTAACATGATCAAGATAGGTAGCATGTTATCACAGGAATTAGAAAAATTACTAGTGGAAATTTAGGGTTCGGGGAGATGGCTCAGTGGAATAAGCACTTCCCTGGCAAACACAAGGGCCTGAGTTCAATCCCTGGTTAGGGGGGTGATGGGGGGAATTCAAGAATTAGCGATAAGACCCATATAAAGGAGAACTTACAATTTGAGATTTGAAAAGAGAAAATGGGAACACTTTTTTCTGGGTACTTAGCTGAGTTCCTTCTTGTGCTTGAGGACTTTGCCACTGTATGTAGGAGCCTGGACAGGAGGTGGGAATGCACCTCCTAAAAGGCAAAAAGGACAGACACTTGTTCTCCTTGACTCTGGGAACCTGGTGCCTAGGACTGACCTAATGCTTGCACGTATGATTCAAAAAGTAAAATAGGACTTATGAAGGACAGTACATATACTCCCTGCCCTTTGCCAACAGCTTTTTTTTTTTTTTTTTTTTGAGATAGGGTCTTGCTATGTAGTTCAGGCTAGGCTTGAACTCATGAGCGATGCTCTTGCATCAGTCTCCTGAGGGCTGGGTTATAGGCATGTGCCACTATGCCCAGCTTTCCAATTTCTTATCTGCTCAGATGAGCTGGGTTGATGTCCATGAAAGAAAACTGAATTATAAGTCCAAATTCTCAATATAGGTGATACAGAGAAGATCTGGATACCCTAAGTTTGAGGTGAGGTGAAGACTGAGTTGAATCAACATGAGAGTACAACATACAGATCAATACAGAGGTAACAGAAAGCCTTGAAAAAGTAACAGGCAAGATAAAGGAAAGGTGAAGGGCTAGCAGTGATGACTGCAAGGGCTAGCACCATTTCCTGGCACACAGTAAATGCTGAATACATATTTGCCAATTATCTGGACCATGCAGAATCTCTTAAAATGTTCAAATATTTGTACACCAACTCTAATCAACTATCTTACTTTATGTATTTCTGTACTTTCTAATCATCAAGCTTATACCTAAAATTTAAGCAACTATTAAAAAACACAGACTATGTTACATGCTAAGTGGGATAAAACACAAATGAATGCAAGAGCACACACACACACACACACACACACACACACACACACACACACACACACAGAGTATTGCTTTAACAAGTTCTCAAGTCAAATATGATCAGAGGGCCTGAAATTTGGATCCAAAAAGCTTGTGGTGAAAGTTGAATGTAAAATAAACATTTTGTACAAATTAGAAATATGAGAATAAAAATAAAATCTATAGATACATCCTATAGTCTTTGCTTCCACAAACCTAAAAGTTAGCTAAGAGTATATCACTTTCAATTAGAGCTCATAGTTATATATTCTTTAAAGATACCACACAAAAGAGATGCCTTTAAGCATGATTAATGATGCGTGAAGGCTTACTCATACCAGTAATTAAAGAGATGGCAAAGGAAAACCATTCACTTATTTACGAATACTTTCAACATTGTTTATGTGCAAAGCATTGTTCTAGGCTTTATTAGAGTATAAAATAAACCTTGCTTTTCTAGATCTTATTTAGAGAGAAGAGGTAGATAGATCAAAAACAAATGTAGAGCCAGGGAGACAGCTCAGTGACATAGGCACCTGGCTGGCAAGCACAGGGTCCTGAGTTTGATTACCAGCACCAAAAAAACCCAACCAACCAAACAAACAAAAAAACCCCACATCCCCTCCCAAAGCCCCATATCAGGAGCTAGGAAGAAACATGACTCAAAGGGAAGAGACAGAAAATGTTTGGAAAAAGTTAGAGAGTAGTAAGCAAAGGGTAGTTGCATTTTAGAGAATAGCAGGTAAGAGGTAGCTCACTAAGTTGGCATCTGAAGGAGATCTGGGTGAACAGTTTTGTTATATTAAAATAGGTAGAATATGACAGTAATAGAAAACATCTGGTTGGGAATATAGCTCTGTAGCATAAGTGCCTGACTGGCAAGCACAAGGTCCCGTGTTTGATCCCTGGTACAAAAAAAAAAAAAAAAAAAAAAAAAAAAGGATTGTTGTACAGCAAGGAACATAGCTCAGCGGTATAGCACTTGCAGGGCAAACATGAGGTCTGAGTCCAATTCCTGGGGAGGCTGAGACAGGAGGATCATTATGAGTCTGAACTTTGTAGCTAGACCCTGTACCAAACAAACAAACAAACAAACAAGTAAATAAAATTAAAACAAATTTTTAAAAAGAAAACATCAAGTCAGTATTCCAGATGGGGGTATGTTTGCCATATCAGATAGGACAAAGGGCACAAAGGAAGTAGTAGAAGGAGCAGAAGTCAGAAAGACACTGTCAGGGGATGGTAATGATTAGTGCTAGGAATAGAAACAAAGGGGACTCAGTGTATGCTGGGAAGTAATATACAGAAAGTGCCTGCAGTAACACCTGGTCACTGGTAAGTAACTATGTGTGCTCTTCATTGCTATTTTTTTATCATTAGTAATAAACTGTTTCCAGGAATGATAAAGAAAAGAAAAATGATGAAAAAAATTCCCAGATGCCTTGAGCCAGATTTCCCATGTTTATGCTTTACTCTATTTGCTTTCTAAGTACTCATGAACTTTTTTCTGAGCTGTTTCAGGACAAGGTGTAGATACAACATGGACCCTACCTGTGCCTCTAAATGTATACCTCATGCTGTCTTCCTCAGAATGAGAAATTCTCCAGTAAAATCAGCCTGTACTCATCAAGTCTAACGTTAGTATTTTATAATGATATTATCTAATCTACAGACCTTATTTGGATCTTGTCATTTGTCTCAACTATAACCTTTATAGCAAAAGAAAACCCAAGAGAGTGCCTTAGAATCGCTGACATGTCTCTTTATTCTCCTGTGATCCAGAAAGGTGTCTGAACTTTTCCCTTTAGGTTTGTATTTCATGACACTGACTTTTTTTTAGTGCTGCAGACAGACAGATAATTTTGCAGTGTTTCTCAACTTAGATTTATTTCTTCTTATCCTCACAGATTAAATTCAGGTTATGCACTTTTGGCACAAACACCACAGAAGTGCTGCTGAGTTCTTTGCACTGCATCCTATCAGGTCGTGCTGCTGCTCAACCCTCTCACGGGCAACATTACTGCTGATCATTAGGCCAAACAGACGTCTGTTGAGGCGCTCTGCTGTGAAGATCTTTTCTACTCTCAGTGACTCATAAGCATGTGGCTGGAAGATACTTTTGAGATTACATACCCTGTTTACGAACTCACCACTAGTCTCAGCCTGCATTGCTGATTCCTCACTGAATCAGGCATTACAGGCCAGGTAACCCTCATTTGAAATGTTTGGGAACAGAAGTATTTCAAATTTTGAAGTTTTTCAGATTTTGGAATATTTCCAGATTTCACTGGTTTTGAATCCTTATTCCAAAAACTAAAATTCTGAAATGCACCAACATCTGAAACCTTTTAAACTTTTATGTCTGGTCCAAAATTTTATCTAATTTGGAAGCATTCTGCATTTCAGATTTTCAGGTTAAGGACATTCAACCTGCATTTTGATGGTTGCCAAATGTTAACTTTTCTATTTGTGTCTTTTTCTTTTTTTTTCTTTTTTGTATTTTTTTAGGGAAGAGTCTACAGGGTGTTCAGGGTCCCACTACTAGATCGGACTTGTATTGATCCACCTGTTTACAGCCTCCCAAAAGCTGGGATTACAGGTGCGCACCACCACGCCCAATCTCAATTGTTATCCTCAGGGGTGGGGCCAGCATGGCAGGCCCAGGGATCGAACCCTGGCCCTTGTGTCTTTCTTTCTACATTTAGTAATAGGACTCTATGGTACGTGGAGAGCTTTCCCTTCAACTTTATTTGTATTAGTGTGAACTCATGGAAATTTATCAATGAAATAAGTTATAATCGTTTTCTATCATTAGATACTTTAATTCCCATACCACTCCTGAGGTAGACATGGCCCCTACAAACTGTGTTCTATCTCTCTGGGCCTGTCTCCAGGATTCCTTGAGTACCTCCTCTTCTGAGGTCATCTTACACTTATTTTCCCCTGGTACTGCAAGAGTTCTTTGGTAGTATGTATCACTTATTAAAATTCCTTTTTTCCTTGTTCCTTCAAATAAAAGATTATTCAATACCTTTTGTTGAATCCATTCCTCCAACTGCAAATAATGCACCAACAGTTGACTTTCTAGGTTTTGTCCGAGGACTTTGTAACATGGGTCGTCTCTCTGGTAATAAATGATACTTCATTGCTTCCATAATGAGTTTTTGACATTCTATGTCATCCCTAAAAAGTGCATTATTTTCCATATCTGCCAGGAACTAGAAAAGAATGGTGAGTACATACATTGAGTGGCCAATAAAATAGAGTAAGTGATGAAGTTTTTAAATAGAAATTCCTCCAATGTTTAAAAAATTTAAGTCTGAATATATTTTCAAATATATAACTTATAAAACCTATATTTTAAGTGTCAATAAAAAACTGAAGAATATTCATGGCATTCTCTAAGATCTTAACAGTGCTTATCTTCTAATTATATTCAAAAACTCAAAATAATCTTACTACTTTTCTATAATTTTTAGATTTTCTAAATGACTTTACTTTTACAATTATACTTTACTTTAATTAAACAATAAATAGGAGTTGGTTACACAGATTGTACTTACCTGAATGTAAAACATCAGGTACAAAAAGCATCAAAAACAAAACTTAGTAATTTCTCAAGGGGCAAAGAACTCCCTATGATGATTATTCTAAGAAATATTAAAATCCCTATTCAATGGGTACTATTTAATTTTACATAAATGTATGATATGGTTGCATAAAATTATTTTACTAAGTATTTGCTTTATTGTATGTTTTGCTGCAGCTTAGCATATTTATTTAACAAAATCTTGTAAAAAATCTCTCCAAGTCTTCCTGAAAAGGTATAGTTTTGATTTATTCTTTTTCATGGTATTTTACACTATACAGATATATACTAGTATTTTCTTATTATGAACTTTAGCTCTTTTCCAGTCTGTATATACATATACACACACAAATGCATATATGTATACATAAATTCTATTTTTTCCCCTTATAAAAACCAGGCTTTCTACAGAAGTCTTTACATAAAAATTTCACCTTGATGGAACAGATTTCTTGGAATTGAACTCCCCCAAGATAAATCAAAGAGTGTACATAAATAAAAGGCATAAAAACTTCAGATTGCTTTCTAGACAGGCTGTGATAATTCACTATTTCACCAGCATGTTAAAAGTACAGCACTGCTAACAATAAGTACACTTTTTATTCTTGTCATTTATAGCACATTTTCCCCACAGTCTGAATTTTTCTAATATGTGGGCATATGTATTTTGGCCATTTTTATTTATTTTTGAAAGAATACAAAATGTCAAAAAACAAAAAACCAAAACATAACAAAAGCCATTAGAAATGATGCAGAAAGGGCCAGGAAGATAGTTCAGCAGACTAAACTCCTGCCTAGGCAAGTGCAGGTACCAGGGTTCGATCTCAGGTACCACATGCTGCACTGGCCCTGCTCCCAGGTACTCTGAGCCAGCCACCAAGACCGGGTGAGGTGATGCATGCCTGTAATCCCAGCGCTGGGGAGGCTGAAAACAGGAAGATCACTACGAGTTTGAGCTGTGTAGTGAGATCCTGTACCAAATACATTTTTTAAAAAAGTAGTAGCTTAAGCTCTTTATAGCTGAAATGATACAGAATTTCATTAAACAAAATAGGAATTCAGGCCAGCCAAATAGCTCAGTGGATTAAAGCACCTGCAAGCAGGCTCAGAGGCTGGGGACACACTGAGATGGCACTTGATACTGGGTGTGGTAGCATGCATCTGTAATCCCAGCTCTTGGTAAGCTATAAACAGATGGATCACTATGAATCCGATCTGGTAGCAAGACCCTAAACACCCTGTAGACCCTTCCCTAAAATACAAAAAAAAAAAAAACAAAAAAACCCAAAAAAGAATTCAATGATTGTTGTATTGCATGTTAGCATGCTAGCTCAAACTAGTTATTTAGATTACCAGATATAAACATGCAGAATTGGAAAAAGAAATTACAAGAAATTAAAAAGGAGAATAAAAAAATTGAGCACTAGCTGCTCCTTTCAATAGATGGGCAGAAATCAGTAGTACAATTATCTAAGCTATCCTGCATGTATACATAAATCTTTTTCCCTTCTTTTTTTTTTGTCCTTTTCTTCTTCCCAGTTTTCTTTCCTATTGAACAGATTCTTCTCCTTTGACAGTATCTATTGCACCTTTCAGATTTTATTTAATCTTTCAGGTTCTTACACTAGTAAGACAATATGATGTTTGCACATGTGGGTCTGACTTATTTCACTTAGGAGTATGGTCTCTAGTTACATCCATTTACCGATAAAAGTCTCCAGTCTATTTTTTTTAAAGCTGAGTAATAGTCCATTATGTGACTACATCTATTTTATCCATTCCTCAGTTGATGGGCATTTGGGTTGTTTCTAAGATTTAGCTATGACAACTTGGGCTGCTCTAAACATGCATGCACAGAAATCACTGTGGTGTGATGTTTTGAAAATATTTGGAAAAATATCCAGGAGAGGAATAGCTGGCTTGAATGCGACTTCTAATCCTAGCTTTTTGGGGAGTCCCCACACTGATTTCCCTAGTGGTTGTACTAGTCTACCCTCCCATCAACAGTGGAGAAGGGCTCCTTTTCCCCCACAACTCCTCCAGCAATTGTTATTGGTTGAGTTCTTGATGATAGAAATATTTGGGGGGTGAGTTGGAATCTCAGCATTGTTTTAATTTGCGTCTATTGAATGGCCAGTGATGTTGAACTTTTTAAATATATTTATTTTCCATTTGTATCTCTTCATTTTTGATGTGTATATTCATCTCAGATGCCCATTTTTGGATTTGGTCTTTGAATTTGGAGGGGTTGGTTTTTAAAAAATTCTTTATATGTTCTAGATAGATATTCTTGGTTTGAGAGACAGTTGGCTAGAATTTTAATTTTTTCATTTTTTGGCAGAACCAGGGATTGAACTCAGGCCCTTGCACTTGCCAGGGAAGCGCTTATTCTACTAAGGTATCTCCCTGGCCCCCTAAAGTTTTTTTTCTGAATTTGTGGATTTTTTTTTTTTTACCCTATTGGTGATTTCTTTTGACGTACAGAAACTTAGAAAACATGAGTTCGCATTGAAGATTCTTTGAAGTATTTCTTGTGCAGTTTGGTTTTTGTTCATGAGCTACCATTTTGACTATAGGTTTGTGCATGGTGATAGGCATGGGTCTAATTTTAGCTTTCAACATGTAGAAAGCAAGTTTTTCCTGTACCACTTATTAAAGAGGCTAGCTTGCTTCTAGTGAACATGTTTGGTCCCTTTGTCAAAGATAAGATGGTTGAGTATGTTTGGAATTGTATCTACATCTTCTAATCTGCTCCAGTGTTCTTCAGATTTTTTTTTTTTTTTTTTGCCAATACCATGCTGATTTTATCACAGTAACTTTGTCTCCCTCCTTTATCTATTAAGCTATTAATCTTTTTTTTTTTTTTTTTTTGTACTTGGAATTAAGCTCAGGACCTTGCACTTGCCAAGCAGGCCCTTGTCTTGCTGAGCCATATCTCCAGCTCTAAACTGTTCATCTTTGAAAATTTAAGAGTTCTTTATAATATACATGTGAATCTTTTAATTTTCAAGGTAATTTTCTAGATTTTTCGTCTATTGTACACTTTAAAATACTTTCATATGCAAACAATTTTCATATTTAGGACACCAAGTAAGGCATCTTTTTGTGGCTTCTGAATGCCAGGTCTGTTAGTCTTTCGTGCTCCAGGGTTTGGAGGTAGTCTCCTGGATTATCAGGCATGATTTTATGGCTGTATTTCTTTCAGTGAGGCCACTGATCCATTCGAAACTAGGGTTGTTTCAAAATTAATATTTTTGTGTGTTCATTTTTTTGAGACAGAGTCTTACTATGCCATTCTGGTTGCCCTTGAACTCCCACCAGCTGGCTTCAAACTCTCAGCAATGCTCCTGTTTCAGCCTCCTAAGTGCTGGGGTTATAGGCGTGTGCCACCATGTCCAGCCTCAAATGAATGTTCAAAAAATATAACAGAAGGAACCTTTTTTGCTTCCAAATGGCCAGTTCTGCACCAACACCATTTATTAACTAATCTTTCCCATTTCCTAATGAACTGAGCCTCAGCCACATATTACATTCTTACAAATATACCTAGAGTTATGTAAGATCTACTTTTTGATTTTTCTGTTCTACTTATCTCTCTATTCTATTCTAACACTGTATTTTACTACAGTGTCCTCATAGCATGTTCTGGTATGTTATAAGTCTCTTCTCACTGTTAATTTTCATTGCTTTCTTGGCTAGTTTGGGGCCTTTATTGTCCACATGAATATAATACATATTTATCTAATTCTCTATCATCATGATTCTCTTGATATGCCAATATAAACCACTTTTATTTCTTTATTACTTTGGGGTGAATTTACGTTTTATGACAGTCCTCCTTCTGCTCAAGAAGGCTTTCCAAATTGGGTATGGAGGTACGTACTTGTAATCCCAGAACTCAGGAGGCTGAGGCAAGAGGATCACTGGACTTTTGGGGCAACCTGAAGGGTCAGGGTCTTGTCTCAAAAAAAAGCTTTCCACATATATGGCTTTATCAAATACATTCTTATATGTTTTACTATTTGTATTGTTATTGAGGATAGGTTTTTAAATTTTCATTTCGTACATTTCTTGTAGGAAGAGATAATATTCTGATTATCTTATACTTCTATTTTAACCTACTATATTACTATGACTGAATAAGCTTTAGTAGTTTTATGACTAATGACATAATAGGGTTATAAGAGTTCCCCATTTCTGAGATTATATTTGGTATTATTGTTTCACTGCTTTGGATAATAGTTTAATAGTTGTGGTAGTACTGGGTAACTCATCTACTTAGGCTCTATTTTACTTCAGAATTTTAAATTAAGAATAGTTGATTTTTTTCCCCAAGATATGCATCTTTTATAGGTCTACTGATATGGCTTTTTCTCTTTTAAGTTATTCTCTGCATCATTTTTGTTTTCCTAGAGCAAGATTTTTCTAACCATAGTGTGTCACCTTTTTGATATGCTGCTGGGTTGTATTTGATAATGTATTTCTTTATAATTAGCTATATTTTAAATAATATAATCTATTTCAAGTAAACAATGGTTTTTAGTAAATTTACCAAGTTGTAAAAGCCATTATTCATGAAATAGTTTGGAACATTTCCATCACCTTAATTAGCTTTCATATGATCACTTA